GGCGACATGGTATAGTTCCCCATTCCTTTCCTCCTTGGTGTGATGAGCTGATCTGCCCACAACAAGCACACCACACACTCACTTTCCTTGCAGGCGTGGTGGTAGGTGGTGCGCTCGTGCTCATCCCGTGCTGGTGCTGTCTTGTACCTGTGGCGCTGGCCGTTCACCAGGTGTGTGCAGCACTGGTGTCGACAGGGGAAAGTCATGTAGGTGTGTTGGGCGCTCATGGATGAAAACAAAAAGACAGCTGATAAAGCACCTCTGTACTTTGTGGGCGACTTCGGAGAAAAAGAGCGAAACGGTGGCACATTCCGATCATTCTTCCCGTCCGAGACCTTGGCTGCCCCCCTTTGTAAAACGCCTACTAAACCAGACAATAAGGGGGCAAAACCACATGAATGTGTGGCACATTCCGATGTCATGACCAATCAGGTGAAGTGAGTCGTGGTCCTTGTTTGCTCGGCAGACCGTTCGCGAGCAGCTCAGTTATGGTGTCACAACATCTGAGGCGCACTTGTCCGAAGAGCTTCCTTTTATTTAGGACTTGGGCTTGTTGAGGAAGCGGAGCGAGAGGTAGGCCAGAAAGCGCGTGATGACGATCATCCCCACGATGAACATGATCTGCATCCAAACGCGAGACCAATGTGAGCCACCACCGGGCTCGCAATCTCTACACAGACACGCACGGACGAAAGAGTTGTGTACGTACGTCGCCCCAGATATTGGTCTCCACGCCGAGTTGGTTGAGGACGTCGTCGCCCGTGATCGGGTTGGCGGTGAACATCGACGGCGATGATGGCGTGAAGGTCTGATCGCCCACGTCGAACTCGTTGAGCAGCAAGAGCTCGAAGGCGTACTTCATGAACGATATCCAGCGCGCCCACCGTGTCCACGGCCGCAGGTTCTCCTGTCTGATGAAGAAGCCGCCGAGCATCACCGAGCTCAGCACGATAATGATCGACAGGGTGATGGCCTTCTGGATGTCGAGGACTGTGGCCCCGATGAACAGACCGAAACCGCTGCCCATCAGCGCGAACAGGCACACATAAATTATGTAGAGAATGAAGCACTCGGCCTTGGGCGCTAGCCCCACCTGCGCACACGACAGACGCTTAGTACGTATGCGGCCCACACACACACACACACACACACACACACACACACACACACACAAAGCAAAAGTGGGGGGGAGGTGCATGTGTACCATCCAGTAGGTGATACAGGCAAAGGCGATGGGTAGGACGAGCTCGAGGGGGGTCTCGGCGAAAATCTTGCCCATTAAGTAGCCCGACATGCGGTACGACCCCGTTGCTCTCTCCTTGTTGAGCACGGCTCTCTCGGGAGGAACTGTGCGGTCGTGTAGTAGTAGTGTGGCGGTAGTGTGCTATGTGGTGAGTCCAGTTTCCGTGATATTGCCGCGTTCGACCATGTGGGGAGAACGTACTGGCGTAGAGCGCGTTGAACCAGGTCTGCAGAGTCCAGAACATGGTGCTGAAGAACAAAAAACCTAGTAACAGGAAGAACCCTCGAGTGAGCGATGCATCACGCCGCTGCCGCTCTGTAATGAGACATACCTGTGCGGTCTGGAATTTGAGCCTCTGCAGCCCACACGACAGATCAATGTGTCAGCTTGATATGGGTGCTGGCGGCGGCGGCGGCGGCGGTGGATTAAGGCGCAGGGGTACCGGTGGTGTCCCTCCGAATCCATAGAAGACCGGCCAGGACGGAGATGAAGATGATCTGCATGATGCGGTTCCATCCCAACAGATCGCCCTTCCGCTGGATGAAGCTGCGCTTGGTCAGCACGAAGGTCTGCTGGTAGAGCGGCGTGGGAAACTTCTTGCCGTGCTTCATGTCCTCGAGCGACGCCTTGGCCAGCTCGTCGACCTCCGGCGATGGTCCCTGACCAGCGGCCTCCTCCTGCTTCTTCCTCTCATTCTCGGCGTAGGCGTCGATGAGCAGCTGTCGTACCGTGCGACCGTCCTTGATCTTCTGCGGCGAACTCACAACCTCCACTACGTGTGTG